ATTTTTGTTCAATAAAAATCTTTCAAATGCGACTGTAGATTTTTTTCCCCAAACTTTGTCTTCAAAATAAGGGTGCATCTTATACACTGGTGCATCTTATATTCCGAAAAATACGGTAGTTACTGCTATATCAGGTTAATGGCAGTTCAGAATGGAATGACTTCTTTAATTGTGATACTCAAAAATGATTGTGAAAGAATATATAAGGTGATGAGTAAAGGTTCTAGTGTTCAGTGATGTAGATTGTAAAGAAATGTGGCTCGTGAGACTTTTTTTTTTTACCTGGTTCACATATCACCCTTAGATTAAGCTGCAAGGTAGACTTGTGACTTGGTTAGTAAGATTAGAAAATAAAGTTACTCCCATGCAAGATACACACACACTGAGTGGCCACTTTATTAAGAAGCTTTTCCCATACACATTTATTAAGAACTCCAGCAATATGAATATGATAATTGCACTGAGCTTGTAATGTGCTGGGTTGGTTGATTGAGTCTTATGAGTGCAAAAATATAGTTATACCATGATTAGTCTGAAAATCAATAAGTAAGAACTGGAATATCTCCAACTTTTTAAATAGCATGATTGTAAATGCCTTTATAAAGACTTTCTCTGACCAACACTTTCAAAGATATCTATCAGAAAGTTTGGCTGTCAACCACTAGTGAGGGAACAAAAGATTGTAAAGGTATGTTTTACAAATAGCAGTCATGCCCAAGTTGGCTGATTCACTCATCAGTGGTCAGGATTTTACTATTTTCATCTGAACTATCTATAGGACACTACATAAATTATGATATGACAGCCAGCTACCAGTATAATTTCATAGGTGCTAAGAGTGCAAACCATGGACAGTGAATGACTAAAACTGTTTGTTGTGGGCTGATTAACTTTCTCCCCTTTTTTTGTACTTATGGTACAGTGTGTGTGTGTATGTGTGATATACATATACACCTTTTTATGAGGCACTTTTACTATTAGGGCAGTATATAAGTTGTGTTGTTGGAAATTGCTTGTACGACAGAAATTGGGTTCTTTAATTCCTTTAAATGAATCAATCATGTACACTTCTCAAGGATGCATTACAGTCCTGTTGTACAAGGGTTCTTCCAAGAATCGGTATTCCTTGTTTTGTCCAAAATTGGTTTGAAAGCATTACAATGAATCCAGTAATCTTTTTTTGCTAGTATAATCCTTTAAACCTCGATCTGATTGAGCACGTTTGTAATAAATTTCTACCAGTGTCTGTGAATCAGTTGCAGACAGTTCTTCTCAACAAGTGGGCTACAGTTGAAAATGACAGAGCATGGGATTTCTAATAAAGTGGCCAACCAACCTAAGTTACCAAAGGCAACATGATAGTCATGTTATAATATATATATATATATATTTAATTTTATGTCAAAGATGTGATCTATTCAGGGTTAATAATATACCAGTTTGGGGGGAAAAAAGTGTCACTTTATGATGAGGTGAGAGTTTTCACACATACATAAACATAAACTTCTAAATTACATAAATCTGTTTGCAGGTTACTAGTATGGTTCTGTAGTAACTTGCATGGAATACAACTAGTGTGCTAATAATAATTGGGAGAA